CGTCGGGCTGGGGCGGCCGCCAGGCGGGCGGGCTTCTCCGTCCAAGGCGCAGCACCCGCCATGTTGGTGCGGGGCGGAAGCGCTTCCTTAGCAACGCGACAGCCATCTTGGCGCCGATTAGAAGTCCGGGCCGGAAGTCCCGTTGGGGGCCATGCGAGGGAAGGGCGGAAGTACCCTTAAGTGGAAGGGGAGGGGGGTCTTTGGAGGGGCAGGGGTAAGCCCACCCATCCTCATCTTTTACAGCCTCAGTCCTCAAAATCTACTAAACCCCAGGAAAGTTTTTGCAGGGGGTGGTAGGTGGGGATTGGGGAGGGCTGGGGCCAGTTTTTCCCCCCCAGCCTCCCTGGCTTGGGTGGGGGTTTATAGGGTAGCAGATTAAGGGGCGGGAGGCATATCTTGGGTGGTGGGAGCACGTGTCTCACGGGCTGACTCCTCTGTCCCTTAACTCCCCCAGTTCCATGTCTCAAGATCCTGGTCAGCAAAGTCCTGGGCTATGGTATCGTCATGGGGTCTGTGATGGGTGAGGACCTTTGGCCCTGGGGCAGCAAGGTGGGAATGGGGCTGGTGGGGGGAGGTTCAGCCCCCCACACTGACCCCCTCTCCCCCTCCCTGCAGTGAAGCTGCCCCAAGTGTTCAAGATCCTGGGGGCCCAGAGCGCCGAGGGGCTGAGCTTCCAGGCTGTCCTGCTGGAGCTGCTGGCGCTGACCGGGACCATAGCCTACAGCATTGCGCACCACTTCCCCTTCAGGTGAGGCAAAAGTGCACCCAGATGCCTGGGTTCTCACTCCGGAGGAACCATCTCCCAGCCGACAGAGCAGGGAACCTGAGTCACCTTCAGTTGCATTTGTCCGATCGAGCCATCTCTTGGTCATTGGAGGTGGAAAACTGAGTCACAAGCAAAGAGAGGCCACACAGGGCTTTATTCTTTGCTGGCTCTGGGTCCCAGCGTGAGTCTGGGAGTGGGACGGTTGGGAGCCTGGATGCCTGGGTTCTTGCTCAGCTCTGGGGGTGCCAGGAGCCTGGACAACTGGGTTCCTTGTGGCCTGGTGGGTGAAAGCAGTGGGCCTCGCTAACCCCCCTCCCCTTTCCCTGCCCCTTAGCGCCTGGGGTGAAGCACTCTTCCTTACCCTACAGACGGTGACCATTGGCTTTCTCATCCAGTACTTTGGGGGATGCACGGGGCGTGGTGAGTTGGGGAGGGGGGTGAGGCCTCTGCCGAAGGGGGGCATGCTGGGAGGGGGTGGGGCCTCTGCCCAGGGAGAGGGGCCTCTGACCCTTGCCCGCCCCCCTCCAAGGTGTGACCTTCCTGGCTGTGTACTCCTCGGCACTGGCACTGCTCCTGTCCCCACTCCCACCCTCAGCTCTCATCACCTTGCTGCAGGCCTTCAACCTCCCTGCCATTATCGTCAGCCGGGTAAGGCTGGCCCCAATCTGGGCCCGATCCTGGGGGTGGGAGACAAGATGAGAGGGGGGGCTGGTATGACTCTTCTCCTTCCCTGCCTTCCTCTTGCCCCCCTACAGCTGATCCAGGCGACCACCAACTACCGCAACGGGCACACGGGGCAGCTCTCAGCTGTCACCATCCTACTGCTGTTCGCCGGCAGCCTTGCCCGCATCTTCACCTCTGTGCAGGTCTGTCCTCCCATGATCCTCTGCTGGTTTCCCATAATGCTCCTGGGCCCAGGGTGGCTTCAGCCTTCCCACAATACCCCTGGGCATTAGCTCCACCTTGTGAGGTGGCCCAGAGGACTCGCAGCCTCTCACTGGGGGTCACAACCTTCCCAGCAGGGGGTCAAAGGGTGCATTGTGGGGGGGGCCTCAGGGTAGGTGATGCTTTGTGGTTTCCAGCCTTGCCACACATCTGAGGGGGTTGGGACTAGGATTGTTTACCCATAATCCTCTAAGAGCTTCTCCACTCTCTCCCAGTCCCCTCGGTCTCTGTGCTGGGAGAGACCTGATTAGCTCTTGTCGCAGGGCTCAGGCTGCTTTCCCCACAATACCCCGTGTGCGCGCACACCCCCCCCCAACCCCCCCCCCCCCCCAACCCCCCCCCCAGCCTCTGGAGTGGCAAGCACTGAGTTGAGATCTGGCCAGCTCATAGCACATGGGGGTGCAGAGCAGGGGCCTATCCTTTCCCACAATGCCCTGGGGCCTAGCTCAGCCCCCCTGGAGGACAGAGAAGGGAAGGCAGGGGAGAACCCAGGCAGCCACTGCCTGAGACCTCACACACTCATGCCATGCCAGGGGTCACATGACTTTTCCACAATGCCCTGGGGCCCATCCTGGGAGCCCCTGCCTGAGACCCAGCACGCACATGCGTTATTGGTGGGGTGGGGGTGGAAGGTGGTCATGTGTTGGGTTTTTTTCCCACAATGCCCTGGGGCCCAGCTCAGTCTCCCCCCCACTCTCCAGACTGGGTGAAGACCTGACACACTCATGTCCTGTGGCCTTCCCACAATCCCCTGCCCTGGGCTGAGACCCTTGCATGGGGGGGGTGGTCATCATGCCCCCTGCCCCTTCCTCACACCTGTTTTCTCCCTCAGGAGACTGGGGACTTGTTGGTGGCACTGACCTACATGGTGTCGTCCATCTGCAATGGGGTCATCGCTGCACAGCTCATCTACTACTGGCATGTCCCAGCCCAGGGCAAGAAGCAGCGGTAGGACCCCCCTGCCATGGGGGGGGCAAAAGGGGTGGGGCAGGGATAAGCCAAGCCCCCATCATGGTGGGGAAGAGGGGGAGGTGTATGAGCAGAGAAACCCCCAGTTCTGGGGGAAGGGGCTGCTTCTGTGTCTTGAATTGCCCCCCCTTTCTCTGTAACTGCTCCCCTATGACTGTAACTGCCCCCCCCCGGCTAGAATTGCCCCAACTGGGGTGGATTAAACGCTGAGAACACTCATATCTGCCCCAGTGTGGTCGGGGAGTGGGGGTGGGAGCCCAGGTGCCTGGAGGCTGAGCCTCCCCCAGGTCCCCCAGGTGTCTGGGCCCCTAGCCGCCTCTCGCCTCCTGGAGGACCCTGGAGTCCGTGCTCCCAGCTACTCGCCTCTGTGTCCCACCCCAGAGCTGGCTGCAGGGGGGCAGTTGGCCTTCGCCTAGAGGCCCCCCTCCTTCACAGAGCCCCGCCCCCCTGGGTGGTCAAAATCAGGTCCAGACATCCTGTAACTCTACTATGAGCTTTATTAAACCATGAAAATGCAAACCCCGCCCCCACCCCAAGGCCTGATTGGTTACCCCCTCCTCTGCCACGATTGGCCCTATCAACTGGTCAAATACCCAGCCATTCACTCTGAACCCTAATAAAGGCTCCTGGTTGGGGTTTGTTGTGGGGGAGAGAATGAACTGCCCTCTCTGGCACCCCCCAGGCCTGGACCCCCCTACTCCCCAGAGCCAGGATGTACCCTACATCCTAATGTGGCTGTTAACTCTGGACCATAACAACAACATGGGCTGGGTTTAACCCATTCTGCCACAATAAGTACCCCCATCCCTCCTGCTTCCTGACCCCCCCCCCCCCCTCCCTCCACCTGCAGCCAGGGCAGGTCCCACATAGTGGCTGTTAAGTCTTAACCCTAATGATGACACTGGCTGGATGCATCTCAGTGGGGGATGGGGGGGCGTATGGACAAGCAGGCCCCCCACCCTGCTGGGCCCCTCAGAGGGGCTGGTAGCCCCCCCGCCTGCGGTGCCGCCCCACCAGGTAGGCGATGATGACTATGAGGATGAGGACGATGAGGACGACGGCCACCACGATGGGCACCACCAGGCTGTGGTCGGCAGGACAGTGCACAGCTGAGGGGGAGGGGTCAGTGTGGGGGGATGGGACCCAGGTGTCCGGGTGCCCAGCGCCCAATTTCCCCCAAAGAACCCATGGGTCCGGGCCCCCAGTGGTACCCCTCTATAGACCCCACTTCCCCCACCGAAAACCCAGGTTTTCAGGCTGCCAGCAGTACCCCCCTATAGACCCCATTCTCCCCCCACCTCAGAGAACCCAGGGATCTGGGCTCCCGGCCCCCCTGCTCTCACCCCCAGCACCCTTCCCTTCCCCCCCCTCCCTGTACTAATCAGAGTTAGGCTGCCAGCCCCTGCCCCCCTCCCGGAGACACCAGGCATCTGCTCCCCCCTCCCAAGGCAAGAACCCAGGTGCCCAAGCCTCCAGGGCCTCCTGCTGCAGAGTGGAGAAGGGACCCAGGTGTGCGCGCTGAGGGAGGGGGGGCTCACCATCCCCGAAGGCACCCCCATGGGGCAGGGTGAAGGCTTGGGCGCGCTCCTGCAGGGCATCGAGTCTCAGTGTTTCGCTCAGCACCAGGCTGCGGTTGCCACAGGCGTAGCAGTGCCCCAGGGCGGCCTCCAGGTCTCGCAGGCTAGTGTTGTCAGCCCTGAAGTGCCCCTCTGCAGGGGGGAGGCAGGGGTCAGGTGACCCAGGTGTCCGGGCAATTGTCCCCTGCCCCCACTTTCCAGCCCCCTCCCCTCCCAGAGAACCCAGGTGTCCCAGCTCCCAGTCCCTGCCCCACCTTGCAGCCCCCTCCCCTCCCAGGCATCTGGGCCCCCATCTCCCACCTGTGGCCTCAGGGAACTGGACTGTGAGGCTGGTTTTGACTCCACTGAGGTAGAAAATGCCCCGGGTCTGATTCTGTGGGGGGCAAGAAGACAGTTACTGCCCTGTTTGCCCTGCCCCCCCTGTGGGACCCACCAAATTGCCCCCCACCAGTTCAGCGCCACCTCTGGGACCCCCCCCCCAAGACCCCTTCCAGTTTGGCAACCCTAAGTCATTGGTAGGGTCCAGAGTGAATGCCTCCATTTATGCCCACCTAGAATCAGTGCCCTCTGCTAGACCCTATAACTGTGTGTGTTGTCGTGTCCCCCCCCACGCCCCCCATGACTCCTCCCAGTTCAGCAATCCCCTGCTGGATCCTCCCTTCCTCCCCAAACCCCTCCCAGCTCATGGCCCCCTGGGACAGCACTAGGGCCCAGAGTTAACATCTTGATTCATAGCCAGCTCTGGCCCCATAACTGCTTCCCCAGCCAGATGCCCCCTGCTGCCCCCCCTAGCTCAGCACCCCCACAAGTCATCAGTAGGGGCTACAGTTAACACCTCAATTTGTTCCTAAGTAGAGTCAGTGTCCTCTGCTGGATCCCTGTAACCTTTCTACCAGCCAGATGCCCTGTCCTGCACCGCCCCCACCCAGCACCCCCCGCTGGTACCTGGTGGAAGGTGAACTGCAGGAAGCCCTCAGGGAAGGTCAAGTTCATGACGGCTATGTCCTTGTGACACCAGCCCGAGGCCTTGGTGCAGTTGGGCATAACCGTGAAGGTGCCCCAGAGCTGTGGTGGAGGGGCAGGGGGTGGGTTTGGGGCGAAGAACCCAAGTGTCCAGGCTCCCATATCTCCCCATCCTAGAGCCAGGACCCTGCTCTCACCCCTGGCCCCCTCCCCACCTGGAGAACCCAGATGTTCCAGCTCCCAAATCCCCACTTCCCAGCACCAAGGGGTTGTAGACCCCCCACCCCTTCCCCCTTATCTCACCCCCTGGCCCCCTCCCTGCCCAGCGACCCCAGGCATCTGGGTACCTGGCGCTTGGCCTGGGCAGCGTAGTGGACCCGCAGTTGCAGCCCGGCCTCCAGCCGCAGGCAGGGCCCTGACCCGTTGTCCACCCGGTAGTCGCCCAAGGGCACCCCTGGTATTGCTGTGGGCTGCGGGGTGGGTGGGACCCGTGTAGGCAGAGTCGTGTGGTTGCTAGGGTGCGGGGTGGGGGTGTGGTTGCTAGGGTGCGGGGGGGTGGTGTGGGTGCGGTGTGGTTGCTAGTGTGCGTGGTTGTGGTGTGGTTGCTAGGGTGCGGGGTGGTGGTGTGGTTGCTAGGGTGCGGGGTCGGTGTCTTGGTGAACGCAGGTGCCAGCGTCGCCGACTTCTTCCAGGGCCAGGGCCAGGGCCAGGTGCAGTCCTTGCACTCCAGGCCTGGGCCTGGCGTGGGACCCAGGCGTCTGGGCCGCTCCCATCCCCGCGCCACCTCTGAGGGTGGGGGTCCGTCCTGGCGCCCAGCTGTGAAACAGACTGGGGAGGGAGGGGAGACAGAGAGGGACAGGGACGATGCCATGTCCAGAGGTTTCAGAGTGAGCCGTCGTTAGGCTCCGGAGTTAATGGCCAATTAGAGCCCTGGTATAATGAGCTAGTATCAGTGCCCCCTGAGCTGTCCATTTAAATACTCCCCCCCCCCCCCAACCCAATATCCTGTGCATTCCCCACACCCACCATTATTAGGCTTCAGAGTTAATTAACAATTAGAACTGCTTTATAATGAGCCAGTATCAGTCCTCCCCAAATCTACCCCCAACCCCCTCACAACGTAAATACCCCCCAAAGGTAATTCCTTGCCCCCATTCACCCCCCGGTCATTAGGTTCCAGAGTCAACACCAGGTTACTGTTGTTCCAGTCCCTGATTGCCCAAAAAAAGCCAGTGCCTGGTGTCGAAATTCCCCATTTCAGCCTTTTCTTCCCCCATTTCCAGGCATAAAAGGGCATTTTACAGGCAAAGCCTGTTTTCGACCCCGAACTCCAGAGGTTTTGGGGGCTAATAATGGACTTTCTAAAAATCCCTTTGTCCAGAAAACACCATATTTGGGCGCCTAATTCCCATGGGGAGCTTTTCCCTCTCTGTTTTTGAGGGCCAAATGGGATTTGTCAGGCCAGAAAAAGATGATTTCCACCTCACTGGGACTCTTTGGAGACAGGGGAATACCCTATAAGGCACCAAAACAGGCCATTTTTAGCCCAAAAGGAGGCGCTTTCAGTCCCCAGGGTCTGTCTGCCTGTGTCCTTTGATCCAGGAAAAGATACGGGGTGGGGGGGAGGGGGGGGCAGTAATCTGGATGCCTGGGTTCTCTGGGAGGGGAGGGGAGGGGGCTGAGTTGTGGGACCCTGGCTGCCTGGGTCCTTCAGGGGAACGGGGGTGAAAGCAGGGGTGCTGGGTGCCCAGGTTCTCTGGGCGGGGAGTGGGGTCAGATGTGTTACAGCAGGTGCAGCCGGGAGCCCGGACACCTGGGTTCTGGGAGGGGAAAAGGGGGGGGTCCCCCTCCCCGGTACTAACCCACTGCCCCGGCCAGGCAGAGCGCAATGAGGATCCAGGCTGGGGTCCTCATGGTGCCCGTCCGTCTGCCCGTCCCTGTCCTGTCGTCTCCTGATAGCAGAAAGGAAACGAAACCTTTTCCCCAGCTCCGAACCCAGGCGTCCGGGTCCCCCGCCCCTGTGAACTCAGATAGCGCCCGGCCCTGTCACGCAGCAGGCGATGGCGCAACCGGCACCTGGCTCTGGGGTGGGGCCTGGCCTCGCGCAACAGGCACCCTGGCTGCTTGTGGGGGCAGCCAGCTCGGGGAGGGGGTGGCTGAGTAGAACACTACCCCCCCACTCACCAACCCCTGATACTCTCCAGAAGTGGGGTGGGAGCCGGGCATCTGGCCTCCCTGCTTTAATCCACCAGTCACCACTCCCCTCCCAAAGAACCCAGGCGCCCGGGCTCTCACACCTAGGCCACACTCCCCACAGAGAACCCAGACACCCAGGCTCCCAGCCCCTCCTACTCGTAACCTGCCACAACACCGCGCTGGCTGCTAGGTTTCAGAATTAACCAGGCCAGACTTGGTTATCATGGGCCAGGACCAGTGCCCCCCAGCACTCTCCTGCCCCCCAAATCCCTTCTCCATTTAAATATTCCACACACCCCAAAGATAAGACCCTGCTCCCATTTTCCCCACCTGCCATTATTAGGGTTCAGAGTTAATGTCACCAGCTGGATCCAGTGCTAACTGGCCAGTATCAGTATCACGTGTCCAGGCTGAGATGTGTGCAGGTGGCTGGGTTTAAGGCGTCTGAGGGGGCTGAGATGCGACCAGCTCTGGGGTGGAGGTGGCCCAGTAGAACCTGCCCTGGGGATATGAGTCTGCGCTTTCACTTCCCCCTATGCCCGCTGAGTCAGGCCAGGGCTGTCGGCCCATGACCTTCATGTGACAACCCTCGTGGCCCTGGGGGGAGGGACACCTGGGTTCTCTGCTGCCTGCTGCTTGTCCCGTGCCTCAGTTTCCCTCTCCTGGGGGAGAAGAGCCGTGTCCAGGTGGGGGGTGGCTGTGTGCGTGCGCGCACGCGCATAGACTTGGCCCTGGCTTAATAATGTGACGCCCCCGCCTGCCCCCCAGGACTTTTACAGAGAGGGCCTAGCTGTGGAACCCAGGCAGCCAGGGCAGGGTGCCAGCTGAGCGAATGGTACCCCAGATGCCTGGGTCACGTGTGTGCGTGCGTGTGCACCTGCACCCTGGACACCTGGGTTGCATGCGTGCATGTGTACCTGCGCCCTGGCCACCTGGGTCATGTGTGTGCACGTGTATACCTGCACCCCGGACGCCTGGGTCATGTGCACCCACAGCCCCAATGCCTGGATTCCATGTCTAGGCCTTCTCCTGCTCTAGGCCCTTGTCCCCTTTGTCTCCTGTACCCCCCACCCGGGGTGCCTGGGTTCCCTGCACATACAGCTGCTGCGTGTGTGTGTGTGGGGGGGTCACTGGGCTGCGTGTGCCCAAAGCGTCCCACGACCAGCCCCAGGGAGACCCCATCCAGGCAAAACACGAGGCTGAGGCGCATGCGCTGTGAGCTGTTGCCGAGCCGCTCATGCGATCTACCACTGCAAGAGCGCTTGGGGCGCAGTCCCCTGCCCGCAACATGGAGGGGCCGGTGGGGTGGGCCCAGCGGGGTCGCGCGTTCGCCTTGGAGGCCCGCAGCCCTGCGGCGCATGCGCAGATGGGGGTTCCCATTGGCCAGCGGCGCAGCCAATGCAAGGGAGGCGGGGCAAAACCCGGAAGTGGGGCACCACGTGCTTCTCTTAGTGTAAATTATTTCTGTAGCATAAAGAGTGTGTGTGTGTGTGTGCGCGCGCGTGCGCACGCATATATGCACGGCTATATAATTGTGTCCAATTTTACCATCATGCACATATAATTATACAGATAATTACATATTGCCCTGCATGTACATTTACACAATACAATTATATATATTTTTACGTGGCTGTAATTATACACACACATATATATTCATACCTACATATACTTGTGTAAATTTGCATATATATGCAAATTTATGTGCCCATAGCTGTATGTGTCATTGTGTGGTTGTGTTTATATTGACAAATTTATACATCTAGTTGCATATAAATGCACCAGCACATTTACATGCATATGTAAAATAGTGCATGTATTATAATTGTATTTAATTGAGTGTGCATTTTCATATTTATGCACTCTCAGAATTATACATGGTTGTACATATGTAATTGTATGCATACATATACAATTTCATGCACATACTTATACCATTGCAGGTAGGGTGTGAAAATTTACGTGTGCATATATGCGTACGTGTGCGTATGTAAATTTGAGTTCATATGCATGTAGCTAGATATGTAGTTATATGTGCATAAATTTGCATACACATAATTATGGACATATTGCTATATATATAATTGTGTGTGTGTAATATACACATACAGAAACATGCATGCACACACTTACCTGCACAGTGGTGACACATAGAGCGTGCACAGGGATGGGTTGGTGGCCCCCCCCCCT